GAAGGAAAAGAGACTAAAGGGACCTGGGAAGAGGGAACAGAAGAGAATGGGAAAGGGCAAAGTTGAACTCCTTGATGTGTGTGAGGGATAGAAAGACAGACAAGGAGGTGTTCTTACCTTGACGAACAGCTCGACCTGTGCCTGCTCTTCAGCCATGGCTGCGACTGGGACCAGGAAGCAGCAGGCGCTGGGGGAACTGGGAGGGGCCGGGGTTGGAGGGAAGGTGGGTTGTGAACTTTGGGGAGCTTTTCCTCCAAATGTCTGGGACTCCTCCTCTTAGCTCACCAGGCAAGACACATACATACACACACACAAATACACACGCACACTCATACACACACACTTAGACACCCCAGCTTGGTCCAGATCCTCCCCCATCCCCCATTCACCCCCAGCTCCTCCTTTACCTTTTCCCCCGCCCAGGCTAGAACTAAGGGCTGATGACTCACCAACCAACCCCGCCCTGGAGAAGAGGGGAGGACTCCTGGATCCTGGAAATGGGGAGGGAGGGAATCCAGCTCCCAGAGAGGGTGCCGGTTGGGGAAAGGAGAGAGTGGAACTAGGTACTTGAAACGCCCTCGCTCCTCTGACCCCAACCCTAGACCTCTTCCTTCTTGTCTCGTTTCTGTGATTGTTGAAAATCCCTGTTTTTTCCCTACTCCATACATGTAATCTGGCACCTTGAATTAGGGAGCCTTGGACAGCAGGGGTAGGGGTGTTTCAGAAAGCGAAAGGGAGCTTCTTTCCACCACATTCCTACACCTGTCTCCTCGCTAGGTGGCTGGAATTGTAGTCTAGGTCATAGATGTTAGAATAAGATATGTGGGGGAGTAAGCTGGCAGAAAGGCAAAGTGTGCTGCGTTTGGGGGAAACAATTGAGTCCCGTGTGCAGAGGGGATCTGGAGGTTGAACCAAGGGGCCCCATCCAAGGGGAAAGACGCCCTCAGAACTCTCATCCTCTCCACTCCTCAGCCACTGATCCCTAGCGTTGACTGGTTGTCCAGGGAGAACGGGTGATGAAGTGGGTGGGGTATATGATTGCTTGAGTTATAAAAATGTACCGGAACCCTGAGGTTTGCTTTACTGGTCCCACACTGGGTTAAAGCAACCAGGCAGATATAGTGAGAAAAGTTAACAGTGAAAAACTTCAGAGAGCTTTCCATTAACCTACACTCGGTGATAGGGGTGGGAGGGTGATGATTAAGTTTTCATCCTCCTGAAATCCAATATTTCACAGTGTTTCCTCAGAACCTGTCTTCCCTGCAACCATCCCTGGATCCCAGATCTTGGACCTTCCTTTCCCCTGCTACTTTCCTAGTATTAACCCAGTCATCCCGTTTCCCTTCAAGAACCAATGCCTCTTCTTCCAAAGTGGAGAGGCTCATTCTGGGGAGGAAGAGTAGGGGTCAGAAGAAGAAGAAGAAGAGGAGACTTCAGAGACAAGGAGAAATGAGGATGTAGCATGAAAGAAAGTAACAGTTGTTGGCTTCTGCTATGGCTTAAAGATGTCCTTCCCCTGTTCTCCCTATGCCTGGAAAGAACTAGTACCCTTTCACTAGTTAGAGATAATGTGTCCCTAGATTGGAATGTTTTAAACCAGAGACACAAGGATCAACCAAACTGTTTTAGAGTGTGTTTTAGGCTGCCTGTGGATGATTCCCAAAGCTTACACTTCTTTCCCGTGAAGACAGTGGAATCCCGTATTCTTTACACTTAAGTATTTGGTCTTAAACAGATGACCCCTGTTAGGGGCAGTGAGGGAGTGGCAAAGGAATGGGGCACCATACCAGGCTAAAACTGGTCAAGCAGCCTCTTCCAGCTCCCTTTCTCCATCCCAGCCTCCCCCACCCCCATCTAGCAAAGCAGCTTCAGCTGTCTTTATCATCAATATTGTCTTTGGCCTACAGCCACGGACTATTAAACTTTCCCCTGATTGTCAAGCAACTGCCACCCTCTCCTTAGGACATCCACCCAAATTCCATGAATTTGAGGGTAGGAGGCTTCACCTCTGAATTTTGGCATCAGAGGCAAATCCCATTTCTGGACACATTTCTTCCTCTTGTTTCCACTTCCTTTTTTCCTTATTTCTCCTCTCCTCTGTCCATTTCTTTCCATACCTGTCTGTCACACACACACACACACACACACACACACACACACACACACACACACACACACACACACACACCCCACACCCCTTGAGACCACATTCTAAAAAATTTTCTTCCTTTTCCTTCCCTAATCTCCCAGTTTCTACTCCTTCACCTTTCCTTACCTTTCTATAACTCAGCACTAGTTTCTGTAAACGCCGTCCTCAATCTATCCTCACAGAGATCTGAATTAATCTGCCAAGGTGTGGCCCTCTGATTTGACACTCCCTAACTCTGGTGCCCTCCTCCCACGTGTTTCCACATTGTTATTATTGTTCCATAACTCACCCAGGGTAACCATTAACCCAAATCTCCTCACTCCCACCCCTCTCTCTCAAGAGCATTTTCCAGTCACTACTAGTCTTTTCCCTTACTCATGCCAAGTGACCCAAATCCTCACACTCTCCCTAATTTCCATCCCTTCCTTCAGGGCTCATTTCTGTCAAGTATTCTTTTTAAAATTAATTTTTATTAGTATCTTTTGTTTTTACATCACCAAAATTTCTCACAGTATCCCTCACCACCCCCCTTCCAGAAAGCTATCCCATATAATAACAAATAATATTTTTGAAATAAAGAGGAAGAAGAGACAAAAAAAATCAGCAAAACTGACAATACAGTGAAAAGATTTGAAAACATATGCTTGTTCTTTGTAATTTTACAACATTCATTTTTGAGTTTTTTCCATTTATATTGTTGTGATCATTATATGTATATTGTTTTCTCAGCTCTGTTTACTTCACTCTTCATCAGATCATCAAGTCTTTTGACCAGTTGACATAACATAGAAAAGAGGAAGGGGACTTTGGGAGGTATATAACCAAAAGTAAAATGCACTACATATAATCTACATTATCAACATTTTCTCCATCACTTTCTTAAGTCTACACAGCCAACAATATGATAAAGCCATAAATTTAAATCAATAATTAAAAGAATAAATCAAAACAACAAGTGATTTGTATCATTTGCACATTTCTCAAGTGTAAATGCTCACACTAAAAATTAGTAATTGGTTCTTTCCAGCTTGCACAGTCTAGCTCCAGCACACTAGTGTACCCACTTAGGGTGTAAGGGTAGGTATTTTGAGAAAGAATATCTGGGAAGAGTGGAGAAATTCTTGGGAGAATGGAGAAGTGACCTCAATTTACAGTTTAGCTTTGAGATTAATTTCCAGGGAAGAGGTGCGGTGCATGTGCTCTGTACTGGAAAGCAACATTATGTGAGTGGTAAAAATGGGGGACTTGAAGCAGACGCTTATCTTTATAACTCATCTCACCTTGTCTGTCAGAGGGGGATAATCTTACTTTTGGAATGCTTTTGGAATTTAGCTGTCATCTATAAAGACCAGGCTTGGCTCTTAAGAAGAGAAAATGCTCTTCCCTCACTTCTTGGAATATTGCCCATAGCATCAGACTTGGTTGAGGAGTTAGGTTTTGCTGAACTGCTTTTTATAAAATATGTATTTCTTTGACATTAAAAAAGAAATTAAATTTTTTCTTTGTTATAAGGGATGGTTCTCAGGATAGAGGAGAGGAGAGGGATATATTTGGACATGATAACAATAAAAAGAATGGCAAACTCATTTCTAAAGTAAAATCAATATTATAACAAAAAGACTAAAATCACACATTCTCATTTTTATTATTGTCCTTTATGTTTTACACTATGGTTTGTTTTTTTTTATTAGGAGGCATTTTTTTTCCTCCCTTCCACTGACTCCCCCTTAGGAAAAACAAAAATCTTGTAACAAATATACATAGTCAAGCAAAAAAAATATCCAAGGTCCAAAAATGTATGTCTCATTCTGAGCATCTTGAGTCTATCACCTCTTTGTCAAGAGTCAGGGAATTCCTTCAAATGATTCTTTCATCATCGATGCTCTGAAATTGGAGTTGGTCACTGCTTTGATCAGAGTTCTTAGGTCTTTCAAAGTTGTTTGTTTTTACAGTATTTCCCTTTTATAAATTGTTCTCCTAGTTCTGATCACTTCAGTCTGCATCGGTTCATACAAATCTTCCCAGCTTTTTTCCCAAATCATCCCCTTCACCATTTCTTATAGAACAATAATTCACATACCATAATTTGCTCAGCCATCCCCCAATTGATGGGCACCCCCTTAGTTCACAATTCTTTGCCAGTACTAGTACTTTTTGCACATAGAAATCCTTTTCTTCTTTATTGGATCTCTTTGGGGCACAGGCCTTACATTGGTATTGGCTGGGGGCACAGGGTATGCACAGTTTAGTGACTTTGGGGACATAAAAAGGCACACATCTTTTGCTTTTTAGGTCAGATGAGCAGATTTTAAAATAAACCCAGGAATTTTACTTTATTCACTCACCCACTCACTTATTCACTCATTCATTAATGTATTACTTAATTGATAAGTATTGTTTATTTATTTGCCACATAGGGTATTTTTTCCCTCCCAGGGGCCTCTGCCCCTTTAAGAATTCCCCTCCCCTCCCCAGCTCTCCGGCTCTCTGGGTCTCCACGCATGTCCTCCATTCCAGCTCCAAGAGACTCCCCCCCCACTCGAAAAGGCGGGAAGTTCGAAAGCGGAGCCCGACCCCCGAGTGCGGATTCGCCAATCAGCTTTCGGACCGGGGTCACGCGCCTCCGTCTCCTAGTCTGGGAAGAAGAGGCCGACCCCCCCACCAAAAAAAAAAAAAAAAAAAAGAGGCCGACCCCCCCTCCCACCCGGCCCCGGGCCCAGAGAGCTTCCGCCCAGACTCACCCCACCCCCAGGCCCTTGCCTTGTGTACCCCAGCTGCGCTTGCGCAGTGGACTCGGAGCGCGGGGTTGGGGGGGTTAGAGATAAGCCTGTGGGTGTGGCCGATGCTAAGAAGAAGGGCTGGGAGGACGTGAATCAGAGGGGAGACGTGGGGGCTCCTACGTGTTTATTTACATTACTTAATTCCTCCTGTGGCCTTTTTCCCTAACTTCCAGAAAAAAAAGCAAATTCCAAAGTCAACAGGACGGGCTGGAGCCGGGGAGGGGCTCTGCCGGTTTTGCCCCAAAGCCCTTGGGCAGCTTCCCCTCCTCCTGAGAGTCGCCCCCTCCCCATGCCATTTCCCACAATCCTCCTCCACGAAGGCCTGAACGCCAACCCAAGCCTACGGTGCAGTAGTGGTCACAGGTTTTGGAGTCCAAAGACTTGCTGTGTGACCCCGGACAACTCAATCAACTGCTCGGGTGCTCGCTTTCTTTCTTCACCTGTAAAATTGAGGGGGATGCACTAGATGAGTTCCCTTTAATCTTGAAATCTAAAGATTCAGCATTTAGTAAGCACTTGCAGTATATGTAGGGTTCTGTGCCAGGTTGGGGGAGGGGGAGAAGATATAAAGTAAAGAGGACTTGGTCCCTGCCCTCCTGGAACTTCGGGTAAAATGGCTCACACTTTGAGTGTCTCCTCACTCAAATTCAAATTCCCTAAAGAGAAGCTTTGTTCTCATCTGGGAACTTCTGGAGAGGGGACAGGGCTGGGTGAAGAAAAGGAAGACTCAGGCCAACATTTTCTCTTTTTCTAGACCCCCAGAGTCCCCAAGAACCATGGCTTTCTTGGGGGCCCAAGCCAGTGACATCACCCCCCAGGATCAGGGGGCAGGAGCACCTTCTGCTCCCCTCTGCCCCTCAGTCCTCCAGGATGGAGAGGAAGAAGAGGAAGAACAAGCAGAGGTGTTGGGGGGGGGAGCTGCAGAGGGGTGTCATTGGGAACCAGGGGCCTAAATCTCCCAGAGGAGAGTTGGGGATGCTGAGAGTTTGGAGATGACAATGGATGCTTCTTTGGCAGACCTACCTGTGTGTGCTGTGGCATTCTGGATGCCTGGGCATAGTCTACTATGACAGCGCTGACTCCACCATCTACTTCTTGCCAGACACCCCTGACTGTGATAACCTCAAACTTCTCCAGAGAGGTGAGAACAGTCCTCTGGAGGTGCCAGGACTGCACATATACTCATGAATGCATGATAATGCCTGTCCCTAAATCATCCTGTTCAGCCCTTCTTGTGCAGAGTATTATAAGAGATCTCCAGGGAGAATCTCCACCCAGATAACTTTACTGCCCTCCCTCCTCAAGTTCCCAGTTCCTGGCCTGGCCTTCCTGCCCAGGTTCCAACGTGCGAATGGGCTTTTGGGAGGACCAAAGTAAATGCTTTGGCTGAGAGGGGGTGGTCGTCTAGATTGAACTGAAAGGTGAAGGTCCATTTATTAACCAGTCTGCTTTCTCCCAAGTTGTGGATGAAATCAGCCCAAGATCCATCATCACAAGTGCCAAGCAGAATGAGAGCATGGCTCAGTTTCTGAGGAACCTGGGTGAGGGATTAAGGGAGAATTTTGACTATATGTGGAAAGGACTTTGGTGTCTGGGAGATTAGGTGTCTGAGAGCTGGAGGTTTGGGGGGAGGACTAGTGACATCCCGGGAAGGGCTGATGTATCTGGAAGACAACTAGGTATGTCTAGGAAGGGTAGGGCAGAATCTTGGGGGAGGCTGAAGATGTCTGCTCAAGGCTGGGGGGAAGGAGACAAACTGGGGCCTCAAGCTGAAGTCATTCTTCTCTGCTTCTCCTGAAGTCTCACCTGAACACAAGGAGCTGGGGACCCCTGAAACTGTACTGTTGCCCCACGTGGATTTTGGTATCAGCCTACCCATAACTTTTGTCCTGCCTCGATAGCCCCATCCTTACCATCTCATTCTTTAGCTTCTTTTCTTATCCCCATCATCATCACCAGAGTTCCCTACCTCCTTCCCCCAACCCCAGGACTAAAATGAAAGAGTTGGACTAAATGGTCTCTAAACACACTACTAGCTCTGACATTCTGTGACTTGTCTCTCCCAATCACCCTATCCCCACAGGTCTAGAAATCAGCAAACAGCGCATCCTCTCTGGTAACTTTTCCTTCATGCCAGAATCCTTGACATCCACTGAGAAAATCCTCTTCCTGTCTTCTATCATCCCATTTGATTGTCCTCTCATGGTTAGAAGGGTCCTTTAGGGGGGCAGAAGGGAAAGTTGGTCTGGGGGGAAGAAAACTGCCCCAGACCAGATCAGAGGCCATGGGAGCCCATCCCTAGAAAAGCTCCCATAGCATTCATACAGTCCCCCACAATGACCTCAGAGGAACTTGACGCATCTCTTCCTGGGCCACTGATCCTACTATCACTAGGTACAAGCCTTGGGAGGGTTGCTTAAGTTTCTGAATCGGAGAAGAGTCAGTGTGGAACTGGAAGATGGCAGCGTCAGTGTACCAATTCTAGGCTTCAAGAAATTTGTCTTGTAGGTAACCCACCCAAAGTGTGTATGTGTTGGGGTGGGGTGGGGAGGTAGGACTAGGGGAAGGTGATAGAGGGCAGGGAGTTGTAAGGGATCTCAGAAGCCACCTGTACTGACTTATACTTGAGCAGAAATCCCCTGTACAACACCCCCATCTGACAACACATCATTCAGCCTCTACTTGAAGACCTTCAGTGATGGGGAACTCACTACTACATGAGGCAGCTTTTTTCACCTTTCTATAGCTTTTAATTTTTAGGAAGTTTTTTCCACATAGACTTTGTGTTGTTACCCCAATGCAAGATCAACATAGGGGACACATAGATGATCAAAGGGAAAACAGGGGGCACAGAAGGGCCTCACTTTGAGACTCCAGGCTAAGATGACATTGAGAAAAAGAGGTATCTCTCCAGACTCACTTGCCTTTTTGCTTTGTCTCCAATCCTCAGGAAAGATCTCGTGAGCATAGACCAGGACACGTATAGGTGAGGAGATATAGAGACAGAAGGGTCTTAGGGGAAGGTGAAAAGAAGGATTAAATCCCTAATGCTCTAATAAGCCTAATGAGGCTCCTTCTCTAACCCTAGGTCTGTCTGAAGGAGGAGGGCAGAAGGGATTTGGAGGGTGGAAACAGATGTGTATCATCTTTTCTAAAGGGGATGGGAAGGCAATTGAAGGAAGAACCTATTTCTGGATTCCAGGATTGTGTGTCCCACCCCCACCTACATATATTCTTCACCCCCTTAGGGCATGTCATCTGGTGTCCTAGATTATACTTTCCTTCTCCCTCCCTCCCTGAACTGTTCCCCACAGTGTCCTGCAGATATTTAAGAGTGAGACCCACCCATCGGTATACAAAGTGGCCAGTGGACTGAAGGAGGGGCTCAGCCTGTTTGGTAGGTGGTGTCTCCTCCACTCTCCCTGAAAACGCAGGGCATTAATTCACTTCCCTCACAGAGGCTTTGTCTGCTTTGTGTGCTTGTGTATGTGAAGGCTAGTGCTTAGCTGCCAGCAGTGTGCCATTTCACTCATTATGTTTATCCATCAGTTTCTGGGTCCCCTTTGTGTGAGAGCTTTTCTGTACTTATGAATCTCAGTGTTTCTTTGATGAAGAAAAGCAGTGTAGCTATTTGTATTTGATTTATATGTCTTTTCATTATCTTTGCTTCTTCTGTTAAGTTATGACTTTTCTTCTGTTCTGACTTACTCTCATATCTGTGTTTCCTCTCTGTATATAATTTTGTCATGTATGTATTTGCTATCTTTATGTGAAATTAGGTGTGTGAAATTCTGTGGGGTGTGTGTGTGTGTGTGTGTACGTGTGTACACCCAGCCCTGCCCCTTTCCAACACCCGGTGATGCTGGCTCAGGATGTGGCCTGGCACCTGGCTCTGTCTCCCTTTGTGTCCTAAATCCGGGAACGCCCCTGAGTATGCCTCACCAACACTAGGGCCCCAGCCCTAATCTCCTTGCTAGGTCAGGCCCCTGCATGGTCTGACACACCCACTCCCCTGCTCAGACGCCTGACACACCTACTCCTTTTTCTTAGGAATTCTCAACCGCTGCCGCTCCAAATGGGGTGAAAAATTGCTCAGGTGAGTCTGTTAGAATCACAAAACCTTACAGTTGTGTAGCCATTTACAACTAACAAAATGAGTTCACATCCATTGTCATATTTTTCAACATTAAAAAATATTTTTTTCATTGGGGGAAAAAAGTGACCAATTTTATGTGTCTACCCATTGAAAGCCCCCAGTGGCAAAATAGGGAAGAAGTTGCCATTGCCCCACTCTAGCTTTGTTAATCCCCAGATGTAGCACCCACAGAAAGCAGGAAATGGTGGGAGAAACAATACAAGCTCTACTAGAGTTTCTGGACAAAGTAAGGGATATGCATGGAGATAGGGAGGGCGGGGATTATTATCTCTGTTTCTTTTAATAAAGAAACTGTGACCCAGAAATGTCCACTGACTTCCAAGGTTATACAGGTAACGGTCATCGAGTTGGAGACTTGAAACCTAGGCTTCTGTGTCTTTAATGATACACTGAGCTATCTTACATACAAACACTCACAAATAAAACCACTTAGTATACACAGACATACATGCTATACAATAATACATACTGAGCACTTACACATAGAAAATGCATGAGTACAGATATGGGCAATAAATAGCCATAAAGGACATACATAAAAACCACCAACATGGCGCACACACACACACATACATATACAATAATATTATACATGAATGCAAATACATAGTTTATACTAGTACTCATCACAGTTTATACACACTCATCCTAGCAACCTAGACTTACACCGCCCACTCACAAATGTTTACCTGTTTCTTCATCTGTATAATGAAGAAATTCAGCTAGATAACCCAGGGGTGGGGAACCTGTCGCCTTTTGTTCTGTGAAGTTTGGATCCAGTCAAAAGGTCACACTTGATGACCCAGAGAGCTACACGTGGCCTGGGGGCTGTAGGTTCCCTACCCCTGGGATAGTGGATAATAGCTGAAGTTTATATAGCACTTACTATGTGCCAGGCATTGTGCTAATCAATTTGCAATTATTATTATTTCATTTGATTCTCACAATGACCCTGGAAGGTGGGTGCTATTATTATACCCATTTTACAAATGAGGAAACTGAGGCAGGCTGAGGCTCAGTGACTTGCCTAAGGTCACACAGATTCAAACTCAAGCCTTTCTGACTTTCGGGTTCCAGGTGCTCTATCCACTGCGCCCCACCTAGCTTTGGGTTCAAATACTCCTCTGATACATAATGACTATATGTGAGTGTGACCCTGGACAAATTGAATAGCTTCTCAGTACTCTAATTCAGAGCTATCAAACACAGGGCCCATAGGCTGGGTTAGCAACACACTGAGTGTCTCAAACCAGATTAAGATGTAATTGGGAAGTATTGAACAAAATAAATTAAAAATATAATAAAACAATATTAAGATGTGGTCAGTAAGTCAATATGCACCCACAGGGATTCCTATGTACTGTTTAGTGACCCTGTTTCTATTTGAGTTAGACAACACTGCTCTAAGACAAAAAGCTGGAGAGGAAGAGTTTCTTTATTTTAGGGAATTCTCTTATTAAAGTGATAGATCTGGTTCTAATCCCTATTCAGTTCTAATAATCTGAATCCATGAGTATGGGTGAATTGATTTTGATTAATTGAATTGATTTACATGTACTTGCTATTACAAGGTGGATTATAGAGCTAGAAGGGACCACAGAGGCCACTTCTCCAAGCCCCCTCATTTTACAATTGAAGAATCCAAAGCTCAGGGAAATTAAGCATCAGAGGTGGGATTTGAATATGGATCCTCTGCTTTGAGGGTCCTTCTGCGTTCCCAGCTACCTCTCTGGGAGTACAGTAGTTTAAAACAATACTTCGAAGCAGGTAACACAAATATTTTTATGCTTATTTCACAGATTAAAAAACTGAGATCCAGGGCAGGGGTGTCCCAGAATTAATAAGTGTCAAACCTGTGATTTAAATACATGGCTCTCCTGAGACTTATTCCACTACAACCTGCTGCCACCCATGATACTCAAAATGAGCCATCTAACAAATAGGGTAATTTCATAACCAACACCCTTTCCAGGGCTTTAGGAACAAATTTCTGATCTCAACCTAACATGTGTGGTAGACATGCCCTTTGATACAAAACAGGTTTTGAATAGGGTAATCATTCTTCATCTTTCCTTTACCCCACCCCGCAAAAACCATATACAGGATAGCCGAAGACTCTGGGATGAACTGAGCCTGAACAAAAGCCACCAGTGAGCTGGCTAATGCCAGATAGAGCATAGTGGAAAACCACTAGATTGAGAATCAGAAGGTGTGACTGTCGTTACTAGCTGTGAGACTTTGGACAAGTCATTTTCCCTCTGTTTGATCATGTATAAAAGGAAGAGGTGGGGCTAAATGATCTCCAAAGCCCCTCCCAAGATCTCAAGATCCCCCTGGGGTCCTGTGATCTTACTTAACATGAGTTCTAGCATATGTATAGACACATAGTTCCATAAACTAATAGAATCATTCCAGCCCCATTCCTCCAGACTTGGACACCCAGAATGACACACAACATGTATGTCGAAACACTTAAGATATTGACATTGTGAGATGTACTCAACTGCCGTGACTTTTTCCTCTACGTCATCCAAGCTTTGACGCAGGGATGATCTTGATCTAACTATCACCCATAAGGGTCCATTTCTATGATCAAGAACCCTGAAATTCCTTTATCTTGTCATAATCCTTTATTTTCCCATCTCTCCCTCTGCCTTATTCCTTTTACTTACTCCATCCCTACTGTTATTTTCAGTTCCTCCAGTCCCTCAGTACTATCTTATTCCATCATTCCTACCATGTTTACTCTCATCTCCTTCCCAATCTTGACCAATTGGTGAACCAGTTTAACTCTCTACTTTCCTTTACTCTTGGGTCCCTCATTCCCTTGTCCTATCACTGACTATGCCTTGTCAAATCTCAACCCTATATCATTCCTGCCATCTACATCCTTCACTCTTACTCTCCTGATTGAATGGGAGGAAATCAGGAAACTATGATGATGAGATCCATTTAAAATTTATATTAATTAATTTCAACTAGGCTTTCACTATAGCAAGCCAAATCTAGTATTTTTTAGGTTCTTTTTTAAAAATAGTATTTTAGTTTTTCCAATTACATGTAAAGACATTTTTTAGCATTCATTTTTTGAAAGATTTTGAGTTCCAAATTTTTCTCCCTGCCCTCCCCCCTCCCCAAGATGGCAAGCAGTCTGATATAGTTTATACATGTGCAGTCATGTAAAATATATTCACACATTACTCATGCTGTGAAAGAAGAAAGAACAAAAGGGAAAAAAACCACATAAACAAAAACAAAAAAAAGGCAAAAATACTATGCTTTGATCTGCATTCAGACTCCATCAGTTCTTTCTCTGGATATGGATAATATTTTCCATCATGAGCCTTTTGGAATTTTCTTGGATCATTGTATTGCTGAAAACAGCTAAGTAAATCATAGTTGATCATCGAAAAGTGTTAGTGTTACTGTGTACAATGTTCTCCTGATTCTGCTCACTTCACTCAGCATCAGTTCATGTCTTTCCAGGTTTTTCTGAAATCCGCCTGCTCGTCATTTCTAATTTTTTTTCTCTCTTTGCTAGGCAGTGGGATTAAGTGACTTGTTCCGAGTCACATAGCTAGTAAGTTTCAAGTGTCTGAGACTGGATTTGAACGCAGGAACTCCTGACTCCAGGGCCAGTGCTCTATCCACTGCACCACCTAGCTGCCCCCTCATCATTTCTCATAGCATGATAGTATTCCATTACATTCGTATACCACAACTTGTTCAGCCATTCCCCAATTGATGGGCATCCCCTCAGTTTCCAGTTCTTTACCAACACAAAAAGAGCTGTTATGAATGTTTTTGTACATGTAGGTCCTTTACCCTTTTTTACAATCTCTTTGAGATGCAGGCCTAGAAGTGGTATTGCTGTATCAAAGGATATGCACAGTTTGATTACCCTTTGGGCCTAGTTTCAAATTGCTCTCCAGAATGCAAACTTGATACTTTTTGATAATTGATTCCTTATCCCACTCACCACAGTGGTTATACTAAATATTTTCTTCTTTCTTTAAGCTTCTAATACCACTTTCTACCCAAACTCTCTCTCCTGAAGATGTAACTTCATACTTTAAAAAATTGAGGCCATTCAAAGCAAGCTTCCTTTTCCCCCTTCTTCGTCATCTCATCCTTCTTTCATCATTTCCCACTATCTCCTTCATTCTAGTCTCTGAGCCCTTCTGCTTGCAAGGCCAATACCCTTGATCCCCTATCATCTTCTGCAGCCGGTTGTCTCCACCATAATCCTCATTCTCTCTGAAAACATTAATGTCTTCCTATATATTAATACCTTTCCTGCTACCAATAAACAGACCAAAATGTCCCCCAGCCTACGCAAACAAAAACCCTCACTAGTTTCTACCATGCTTGCTATGGTTAACCCTATCTCTCTTCTCCTAAATTCCTCAAAAATCCATCTATAATTGATGCTTTCATTTCCTCTCCTCTCACTCTTCTAAACCCTGTGCAGTCTGACTTCCAGCACCATCATTCAACTGAAATGGCCCTCTCCAAAGTTACCAATAGTCTCTTAATTATCCATCTAATGGCTATTTTTCCTGAATTCCAGCCAGCTACTCATTAGACATTTCAAACTGAATGTCCAATAGTCATCTCAAATTCAAAATGTCTAAAACAGAACTCATATTTTCCCCTAAGCCCATCCCTCTTCCCTATTGAGGGTACCATCATCCTTCCTGTCCTACTCCTCTTTGGAATTTTGGTGTCATCCTCTGTTCCTTTCTCTGAAACATACCATGTATGAAATTAATTGCCAAATCTTGTCGTTTATTTCTTTACAACATCCCCCAACAATCTCCCCTTCTCTCCATTCACACTGACACCACTCTAGTTCAAGTACTCATCGGTTCTTGCCTGGACTATTACAGCAGCCGTAAAATTGGATTCCCTTCCTCAATTCTCTCCCTAACACAAAGGTGCCAAAGTGACTTGGCTAAAGTGAATGTCTGATCTTATCTCTCCCCATCCCTTTCCCTATTCAGTATACTTCAGTGGCTCCCTATTACTTCAAGGATCATGTGTAAACTCCTCTGTTTAGCATTTAAAGCACTTTACAATCTGGCCCCTTCCTTCCTTTCTAATCTTCCATTCTAGTCCCCTCCATACATTGTATGATTCAGCCATATTGACCTACTTTCTGTTCCTCACGCACTATACTCCATCTCTCATCTCCAGGCCCCCATGGCTGGAATGTTCTCCTTCCTCCTGTTTAACACTTAAAATCCCTGGCATTTCCGGCCCCTTCTAGCTGGGATACACATACACTGTCCCCCACACATATTAACAACTATACTGTAGAGTTGTTGTGAGGAAAGCTTTGTCAGCCCTAAATTAGGATATAATTATGAGTTGCTGTCCCTTGTAGTATTTCCTTTGCTTCTTAGCAGCTGGGTGTCACAATGGATAGAGGGCTGGGCCTGGAGTCAGCAAGACCTCAATTCAAATTCTGCCTTTGTCACTTAATTGCTGTGTGACCCTGGGAAAGTCATTTAACCTTGGTTTGTCTCAGTTTCCTCAACTGTAAAATGTGGATAATAACAGTACCTACCTCGAAGGGTTGTTATGAGGATCAAATAAGGTAATATTTGTAAAAACTGCTTAGCTCAGTGCTTGGCACGTAGTAGGTGGTAGAAAGGTTCCTTCTCTTCACACTTGGAATGCAAATACAGAGCCACACAAATACACTGTAGTGTGTCATCTCAATGACACACATTTTGTAACACTGACTTTTGAGCCAGAAGCCCACTGACAGAGAAAAGATAGACTCAGTCTCTTTCTTGCCTGCCACCCAGGCTGTGGTTAATGCGGCCAACCCAAGACATAGAGGAACTGAATTCCCGTCTGGATGTTATCCAGTTTTTCCTGCTACCCCAGAACCAAGAGATGGCACTGACCCTGCATGGACTCCTGAGCCACATCAAGAATGTGCCTGTAAGCCAGCTTGCCCAGGGTGAAGGTGGGAGAAGCAGCATAAGGGGAGAGACTAGTGCTACCCTGGAAGTGTGGATGCTGGGGTCCCTTTGAGGAGAGGGCAGTGACAGGTGTCTGGTTTGTCTGTAGCTTATCCTGAGACGTATGGTCCTGTCACACACCAAGGTCAGCGACTGGAAAATTCTCTATAAGGTAAGGATCCCTGCTGCCCCCATTCTTGGGTGACTCTTTGCTCCTACCCTAACCCCTAATTTCTGGGGTCCAGAGAGCTTTCTAGACTAAGCCCTGTTTGGTCTAGGGTTCTATCTTCTCTGAACTTTGTATCCCCCAATACCTAGCACAGAGCTCTTCATTCTTGCTCAACATCTTTGTGCTATTGTATTCATGCTGGAAGGCCCTCCTTTGCCTATCCAAATCCTCATCAACCTTCCAGGTTCAGTTCAAGTTCCTCCCCCCATGAAGCTTTCCTCAGCTATCCTGACTTACACAAATTATAGGAACATGGGACTTGGAACTAGAGCGGGCCTGAGAGATCATCTAGTCCATTTCCTTCATTTTACAGATAAGGAAACTGAGACCCCAAGAGAGGACTTCAAAAAAGGCATCCAAAGTCTCCTTTTTCTCCCCAAATGATTTTTTGTTGCATTGCTCATACTATACTATTATGCATACTATATATTATATAACATTATACTATATTATGAACTATATATAATATACTATATATTATATACTCTTATACTATAGTAATCAATTATTCTGTGCTTCATGTACTAAGATCCTGCTCCCATGCCATACCTCATTGAGCTCTTAAAGGTCTTGCCATTGAAGCACAAGCCCTGGCAGATCATATCAAGCTGGAAACTTTGAGTATGGGTTCACCTAGCTTCTCCCCAGAGGCCTCTGCAAACAACCATGTCCCTCCTAGAGGTATTCCTTTCCATAATGTACTCTATGTCTGTGGTCTGAGGATCAGCCAAGCAAAACTTAGAGAAGCTTTTTCAGCCATACAGTTGTTTAAGAATGTTTATATAAGATTGAATTATAGAGGGGAATGTTCATACTAAGGATAAAATCCTTAAATATATTTAAATATCTATGTACATTAGTTGTATTTCTCTAGCTAAAATGTAAGCTTCTTGAGGGCAGAGATTATTATTTTGGGGGGTTTTTTTTTTGGAGAGGCAGTTGGGGTTAAGTGGGACTTACCCGGGTCACACAGCTAGTAAGTGTCAAGTGTCTGAGGCTGGACTTGAACTCAGGTCCTTCTGACTCCAGAGCTGGTGCTCTATTCACTGCACCACCTAGATACCCCAAGGGCAGAGATTATTTTACACTGTCTCCCCCCACCTTTTAATAGCAGGAGCTCTTTTTTTCTTTTTGGTGAGGCACAAGTTAGTAAGTGTCAAGTGTCTGAGGCCAGATTTGAACTTAGGTCTTCCTGACTCTAAGGCCAGAGCTCTATCCACTATGCCACCTAGCTGGAGCTCTTTAAAGATTTGTCCTAACTTCGACATCTCCAAGCCTTCCTCTTTTTAGCTCTTCTTACCCAAATTCAATTTCTGCCAGTCTCTGTTCTCCCAAGCATCACTTCCCTTCTTCACTTGTCTCATTCCAATCATGCCTCTCTCTGCCTGTATTTCTCTCTGTCTTTTTGTTTATATGTCTTTCTTCATGGCCTATTTTTTCTCCAACCTTGGTCTCACTATTTCTTTTTTTCAGTATCTATCTTTCTTTGCCACCTTTTTCAGGGTGTACTAAAAAGGGAACCCCCCTCCCGATAATTCACCTATCCTCCTCTACAGACAGTGTATAGTGCTCTGGGCCTTCGAGATACTTGTCGATCTCTGCCTCAATCCATCCAGCTTTTCCAGGATATCGCCCAGGAATTTTCTGATGATCTCCATCATATTGCCTGCCTCATCAACAAAGTGGTGAGGGAAAGGAGAAAAAGAGGAGAGGGGAGAACAGGGAAGAGGAATGGGACTGGATGGTGGCATAAGGGGAGAAATTATGACAGAGGAGGGCAGGATATTAAAGACAGGTTTGTGGGGACAGGAAAGGATGTGGGTTAAGGGGAAGGGATAAAAAACAGAGCAAGGGAACTGGGGGATGAAGAACAAAGGTGGAACTAGAATGGGATTGGAAACAGGGAGGGATGGGCTACAGAATATTTGAGATGAATCTGGAGAATGGAGGAGAGGGATAAAACCAGGAGGGCCCAAGGCCTGGGGAGGAATAGGAAGTAGGGTTGGGACTGTGGTGACAGGAATAGGGCTCTCCCCATCCAGGTGGACTTCGAGTGCAGCACTGCAGAAAATAGATTCACTGTCCGACCCAACGTTGATCCAGATATTGATGAGAGTGAGTTTAGGGTGAGAGAGGGGCCCCATCCTCCTTGAAACATAGATCACAGGATATTTGTTGTTCCTGGAAACCTCCCTCCCTGCCTCTACCCCTGAAACCTGGAGAAGGGTGTAGGGAGGAGATATCAGTCCTCATTTTTACAATAGCAAAGATGTGCAGAGCTCCGTCCTAGGTGCTAGAGAGGGTATGTGCAGATTGTCACAGTTCCATCATCATAGCGAGGAGAATATGTGATAAGTACATCTGTCATTCACTCATCACTACCTTCTCTAGAGAAACGGAAGCTGATGGGACTCCCCAGTTTCCTCACAGAGGTTGCCCGGAAAGAGCTGGAGACTCTGGATAGCCGTATTCCTTCATGCTGTGTTCTCTACATCCCCTTGGTGAGGGAAGGATGATCGGGGCATCTCCTTTATACTCATCCTGACACTTTGGGGCAATGGTGCATTGGTAAATGTTTAACAGCTAGTTCTTGGGGCAGCTAGGTGGTGCAGTGGATAGAGCACCGGCCCTGGAGTCAAAAGGACCTGAGTTCAAATCCAGCCTCGGACACATATAACACTTACTAGCTGTGTGACCTGGGCAAGTCACTTAACCCCATTGCCTAACCAAACCAAACCAAAACAAACAGACAACTAGTTCTTCAAGTGGAAAAAAAAAGTATACCAGCACACGGTTCAGTTTAATCTATATTGTTGACCTTTTTTCTATCACTTTTTAAAGTCTAGACAATGGACAAAACAGTAAATCAAACTCTGATTTGTAGTGTTAGCCAGTTTCTAAGCTATAAATGCACACACTGAAAATTTAATGTTGGCTTATGCTGTTTCAAGCTGGCTCCAGCACAGCTCTGCTTTTAGGGGACAGAAGTTGTATTCTGGTGGGATATAGATGGACTCAGAGGCTTCTGGGTGAACCCAGTAGACATTGAGGGGAACATTCGAGCCTCTTGGGGAGACATGGAGGACAAAGTTCCTTTGAGTTCCCCTTGGATAGCTAGAATAGCCTCTAAATTTATTTGCCCTCACTCACCCCTCCAGATTGGCTTCCTTCTCTCTATCCCCCGCCTGCCATTTATGGTAGATCCAAGTGACTTTGAGATTGTGGGCCTAGATTTCATGGTGAGAACCTGGTCCTGTGCGGGATAGGGATGGTGGTGAATGAGGTGAGTTATGGACCAGGGTGTGGGGTAGGGATGGTGATGAATGAACTGAGTTAAAGACCAAGGCAGTTCTGTTTCTGTCTCAGCCTGAGGTGGTGGGCCTTCACAGCCTAATCTTTATAAGCTCTAGAGAAAAAGCTTCTAGAGAATAAAGAGGGAAGGAAAAAATGTGGAGAGACAAATAATGGTTGGAAAGAGGAGGAAGAAGGTGGGAGAGGGGAGAGAAGTAGAAAAAAATTAAAAATGGAAAAGAGGTAAGGGGATCCCCTAGGGAGAAGGGTTGTGTGGGTCCAAGCCCCTGTCTCCACAGTTTTTGTCTGAAGAGAAGCTACACTATCGAAGTACCCGAACCAAGGAATTGGACTCAGTCCTGGGGGACCTTCACTGTGAGATAAGAGGTGAGTGAAGGGTTGGGTGCTGACCTAGAGAATCCTATTCTTTCCTCTCTCCATCAGCTCTTCCCCTATATGGTCCCATATATCTATGTTTCCCTTCTCTGTGACCCTTGTCTTCCTCACTTTTCCCCAACCCTTTCTCCTGCCCTCCCCTTTTTGGCTCCCCATTTCCCCACCCAGATGGAGAGACACTACTGATGCACCAGCTGCAGTGCCAGGTGCTGTCCAGGGGGGCAGTGCTGAACCGAGTGATAGAGCTTGCTTCCCGACTAGATGTCCTACTGGCCCTGGCTGGGGCTGCCCGGGACTATGGCTATTCACGGCCCCAGTATTCCCCTAAAATCCTTGGGGTGAGAATACAAGAAGGCAGGTCAGTACTAGATATAGTGGGAGTCAAGATGGGGTCACAGGGATGAGTGGGCATTACTATTCCCTGAATATCTGGAAGAGGTCAGGTATAGGCAACATAATATTTCCCTGGCCACCCCCAGACACCCACTAATGGAGCTGTGTTCCCGTACCTTCGTACCAAACTCTGCTGAGAGTGGTGGGGACACAGGAAGGATCAAAGTCATCACAGGCCCTAACTCCTCAGGAAAAAGCATCTACCTTAAACAAGTGAGGGGCTTCCTGTTTTATGATCTACCCCCACTCCCACCACATGCACAAGTATGTCTTAGAGCTTTCCATTTCTGTGCCTTGATCTGACTCAGGTTCTCTTTTTATTGGTTTTTATTCCTTTCCCCCAATTCCTCCTGAGCACACCTACTCCTTAGGGCAGAGATCTTGGGGCTGGGGTGGTGGGAACAAATTGTTCAGTTCCCCATACACATACCTTAAACATTGTCCATTTTTTCTCACTTCTATAGCTCCCCCAAATTCTTCATGTATCTTAGCCTCTCCCTGATCTCAGCCCACAGACTCTGGTTCTTCCTCATTCCCCAACTCCTTTCCCCACTACTTTTCTTTCCTCTCCACCATCCAGATAGGTCTGATTACATTCATGGCTCTGGTGGGGAGCTTTGTGCCAGCAGGCAAGGCTGTAGTTGGAGCAGTGGATGCCATCTTCACCCGAATCCGTAGCTGCGAGTCTATCTCCCTTGGTCTCTCCACATTCATGATTGATCTCAACCAGGTCAGGGGGAGCAAAGGGAGCCAGAGGTGGCAAACAAGTGTGTGTGTGGGAAACCACTCAGCATATGAGAAACATCCTCTCTTCCTATCTGAGGGGGTGGGAGGTGGAGGGGGGGGTGATTTACCCAGTGCAAAGTCTGGAGAATGGATGAAACGAATCCTGTCTCCATTTCTGTTGTCAGATGGCAAAAGCTGTGAACAATGCCACTGAGAAGTCCCTGGTCCTCATTGATGAGTTTGGGAAGGGAACTAACACGGTGAGGCAGGAGTGACTGGGAAACAGGGAGGAAAAGGAGGAACTGGGAGTGGGTGAATGGGAAAAAGAAGGAAATGGAAAGCCACATGGAAGTGAAAGGAAGAGGAAGTTTCAAAGAAAAGGGACAAGAGAGAATAATGGAGGGAGAAGATTGGGGATAGGGGAAAGACTGAGACCAAAGCAGGCTAGAGGAACAGGGAAACTCTAGATCTGGACATGACCTGTTACCCCTATTCTGCTCACCTATATCCCTCCCCAGGTGGATGGATTGGCACTTCTGGCTTCTGTGCTCAGACATTGGGTGTCCCTAGGGCCCAGCTGTCCCCAGATCTTTGTTGCCACCAACTTTCTGAGCCTCATTCAGCTGCAGCTGTTGCCCCCTGGACCCCTTGTAGAGTATCTGGTGAGGATACCAATTTACCCTTTAGATGAAAGCATCTTCTATATCTAAAATTCAGAACCCCAGTCTGGGAGTTTTCTAAGAGCAATGATCCTCTCTTCTGATAAACTGAAAGCTAAGGATGGGAATTCTTGCTTCCACCATCATACTGGGAGCTTCCCAAGTGTAGAGATTTTGTCTCTGCAGTCAGACTAGGAGCTCCCTGAGGGCAGGGAAATATGTTGCCTCTTTCCTCTGTCTCTCAAAGAAGCAACTCATCCATAACACTCAGAAAAATAAGATATGTGATAGATTTTCCATTTTTCTCTTCCACAAGACCATGGAGACCTGCGAAGATGGAAATGACCTCATCTTCTTCTATCAGGTCCGAGAAGGTGTTGCAAATGCCAGTCATGCCTCCCACACAGCAGCCCAGGCTGGACTCCCAGCTAAACTCATCACTCGTGGGTTAGAGGTAATGGAACATTGCATCAAGCTCCCTTATCCACAGCGTGCTTTCCCCCTTGAGTCCCCACTCCTTTCTGGGACCCAGGCATCTGGTCTCTAAAATCTTCAGCACTTACCTCCTGACCACCCTATCTTCTTCCTTTCCATTCCCAGGTCTCAGAGTTAATCGGAAAAGGAAAACCTATTAAGCCTGATAGAGGACTTTTAAAGGAGAATCAGCTGGAAAAGTAAGCGTCTAACCCCATCTTCCACGTTCCTCAGTTCCTTCTCCCCTAGGAAACCCAAACATACTCTTCCCCCAACACCCTCTCCACTTTAGTTGCCAGGCCTTGGTGGATAAGTTCCTGAAACTGGATTTGGAAGACCCTGAATTGGACTTGAGCATTTTCATGAGTCAGCAAGTTTTACCTACAGCCTCCTCCATCCTCTGATCAGCCCTCCTTTCTCCAGGATATCAAGTGTTCTATCCCTTCTCCTCAACTCTGGACCCCCATCTCTAACTTTAGTATTGTTTGCTTGGGGGAAAACTGTATGATTTGGGGAATAAAACATATAATTTGGAAAAGGTATTGCTTTCCTAGACCCTCCAAAAACAAAAAGACAGGTGGGAGCTGACACCCCATTAGAAAAGTAGGCACTTGTCCAACATCATCAAAATCCTAGAAAGTAACAAATTACTTTTGAGACACCATACGGATAACTCAGGAGAGACTTAGCAATAACAAATCGCTTCATGCTGGGAATCTGCTAACTGGCTGTTTTGGTCTAAACTGAACTAGCTGTGGGTTATTTGGTGAGATGGAGGGCAGGAGTATGGCTCAGTGAGAAAATCCCTGAACTGAAAGTGAAGAAAATTGGATTCGAACTCTCTTTCTGCCACTGACTGTGTAACCATGGTCCAGTTGTTTCTCTTTTCAGGACCTGTTTCTTTATCTGTAAATAATTTCTAAGGTTCCTTCCAACTCCAACATTCTGTAATTCTATGCGATCCTTCCAATTTGAAAACAGAATGTCCCAAAAAGAAATAGAAAGATACATGAGAGGAAAAGTGCAGTCAGAAAGAAAGAATGAGAGGCTAAGAGGAGGGCTGTGTGGAGGGAGGGTGGTGGGAGGGATGTGTCCTGGTGGGTGGGGCCGTGCCTCGGGCTGCATATGTGTGCTGGTCTCTGACCTCCAGCAACCAAAGGCCATGGGGAGTCAGAAGCTTGGAGGGTCCAGGGTCTCTGTGCAAACTCCTTATACGGTCTTGTTGCTGCCACTGGAGACCAACCGTCAGGATCCTGGAGCATTGAGCTTCTTCCTTTGGGTGAGGTGGGGAATGAATGGGGAAGTCATCCCTCTCAGGGCCTCAGTCATCCTGTCCTTTCAGGCTTCATTGAACCTTGGGTAAAGGGGCCCTCTCCCACCTCAGTTTCCAACAGCACCGCCCCCCCTTGGGGTCTTAGCTGGCTAGTCCTGGATCTTATACTCAGTAGCCAGACAGTGAACTCATCTGAGGATGAATAAGGACAAAGAGTGATGCCCAAGGGCCAACCCCCACCCCCAACCCAGAAAGGGGTCCAAGGAGCTTGAGGGAAGCAGCTCAGTTCCTTCTGGTGGGAAAGGAAAACTAGTCATCTTGAGTTATGTATGACATGGGAGGTTGGTCACCCTCTCATACCTCTACCCTCCCATAGCTTCAAGGGATGCGTGCCATAGAGAGAGAGCAGGATGCCCTGTGGCAGGGGCTGGAGCTATTGGAAAAGAGCCAGGCCTGGTACAAAGGGAGTCTAAAGGAGGCTCAGAGATGGCAGCTGCATCTGGGAAACCTTGGTGAGGTATGAGGGATGAGAGGGGAGAAATAGGAAATAGGAGGAAGAAGCCTCTGGAAGATCCCTGGAAAGGAAGAAGTTAATGGTGATATCTGAATGGGATTGGATTATACCATTGTGCACAGCAGGGAAGTGAGGGGGTGGTTAAGATTGGTCAATTGGATGGGGGATGGGTAGAGTATTAGGCTGTTCCATTGGTATGGGGAGGGGGAGATTGGGATATTCCACTGTCATAGGGGAGTATAGTGGGTTATCTGGGGAAGTAAATTGAGATACCAAAGATTGGGGGATGGGGAGAGGGAATGCTGGGTTTCCATGGGGTTGGAGGTCATGGAATGGTAAAAGAAATATGAGGATGAATTGAATGAAGAGAGTGTACAGAAATAAAATACTGAAATTCTGCAAGCAGGGGAGAGGGCAGTGGGATTGGTCGAGAGCTTTCCTTTGTGGCTGGGGTGGAGGGAGGGTGAGACAATGGACTGGAATGTTTTACCCTGAAGAGATTGGGGTGGTGGGGAGGTGCCATCCTCCTCCCTCTTTTCTTCCTAGAATTTCCATTCAGAGCCCAGGGCCCCCCTCCTGGCCCAGATTCAGAAAATGAACAGCTGCCTGAAGAGTCTGATACAGGGGAAGGTAAATTCGGTTTTTCTTTTCTTGTGGGAAGATTGGCTAGAAGACAGTTGAAACTGATTTCCCCCAGTTTTTTCTGCTTTCTCTGAAAGTGTCTTATCCTTCCCCACCCCGACCCCCCCAGCCCAGTCTGACCGAGCCCAAGATGGGCTGGAACGAAATGCTGATTGAACAGAACGTGAGGCTGCTGCTAAGACAATGGACAGAAGTAGCAAGGGGCAGACTCTTGTCAGTGAGGGATAGGGGAGAGGGTGCTGGATACACATGATCCCCCTCAGAAAACCCCCATCAAAACAAACAGAAAACCCCACTATTCTCCACTTTCTTCTTCCCTCTTTCAGGACCTGCAAGGGCAGCAAGAACATGAGCAGATGGCCCAGCCTGAGGGGGAAGAAACTATTCAACTGGGCCAGATGAAAAGACCAAGGGGTCCCACCCTAGTCTAAGGCCCTCTTCCATCCCCACTTTGGTGGATGAGAGAAGAGATTGCTAGAAATCCACTACTTCCTCTGTCCCCATTCTTGTCCAAGTTGAAATGACTTTGGGTGGCAAATATATAGATATTCCTACTTCCTAGGCCTCACATGAGAGAGAGAAATAATTAAAGTTTCTTCTTAAACCCTCTCAGGACCTTTATCTCCTTTAAATCTTCCCAGTATACTCTGTCCTCCCATCCTATATCCCCAAAGAAAGCAACACCATTTATTGAGAATTTATTTAAAATATTAATATCAATATCCTGTCATCTTTCCCTACAAAAATAAAACAGAAACCAATTCACAGGCCTCAAATTAAAATTTCCATAACCAACAGTCCCTGGACTAGAGAAAAGGGGATGGGAGGCAGGGAAGGGCACGCTAAGGTAACAAAACTAAAGTAATTTTCTCCAAAAATCAGTCTTTGATTTGATTCCCAAAAAAACGTTGTAGGGGAGAGGGCAAAATAGTGCATTATGAGAAAAATCTTTCTCTCCTTTGACCTCCCCTCACCCCAACTCTTTCACCTGAAAGGAAACAAAATGACTGCCACGATTTGAAGGAGAAACCCCAGTCTCTGGATTGGTAGAGGAGAGGAAGGGTCAGGGCCTCCTGGGAGGATCTGGGCAGGGTCAGAGGCAGAGCCTCCCTTTCCTACCCAAGAACCATATTTGGGGATGTGGGCAGGAAGGCATCAGCAGGCTGCTATGCCAAGCACCAGCAACAACCCCCTCACCGGCCCCCACCAAGGGCCAGCTCCCATGGTACCCCCAGCCCCACTCCTCTGGGGCCCCAGAGTGGAGGTGTGTAAGTCCGGCCTAGCCATGTTGTGACTTGGCCTTGAAGAGGGGCCAGGGTCATCCAGTGGCTCCTGGGAAGAAAAAAGGGGAAAAAGATAGGGCACAGGAGCGTGCAAAAGAAAGAAAAGAAGAAAAGACAGGCAGGAGAGAAGGAAACAAAGATAGCGTTATAAAATGAGAATGGAATTAAGCTTCCTACTCACCCAAAGCTAAAGTCTGATCCTTGTGGTCACCCCCTGGCTTTAACCTATCCAAGGGGCAGGTGACAGGTGACAGGCAGGTAGGTCTCACCTGTGGGGGGAAGGCCTGCACCAAGAGCTGGAGGACAGCATGTGCAGGGGGGGAAGAGTTGTTGGACTCGGCCTCTGCTGTCACTGTCAATGTCACTAATGAGTCCAGTGTGGCTGAGCCAGGAACCTGTAGCCAGAATTGCCCCCAGGCTGACTCATTCTGCCCCAGGTGAACCCTGTGAAATTAGACACATTTTGCTCACTGCCCTTTTACAGAGATCCCAGGGGCCCCTTAATAAAGCATCCCAACTGAAAGGTAGAGGCTCAGAATTAATCCGAGCTCCAATGAAGCAGGGTGAGATTAACCAGAGCTGACAGTTAGAAATCAGGGAATGGTGTTTAGAAGTAAGTCTTAGGAGGCATATAGTTACCTAGAGAGGTTGGAGGTGAGGGGGAAGCTGGGGTTGACAGAAGCTGTAATGATGAGGTCCCAGGGTCCTGAGAAGCTAGAGATTTGGAGACTGAGCACAGCCTGGTGGCCAGGGCTAAGAGGGCCAGAAGGACCACTGAGCTGGAGAAGGGAAATGAGAAGAGCCAGGTTGTAGATGGATCGATGTCTTCCCCTCTAAAAACTCAGTTCATAAATTCATCCATCACTAGAGCTGGACAGGACCTTAGAAATCAAGTACAATCTTCTCGCGTCAGATAAAAGAATGTCCAGGAAGGGGAAGTTACTTAACCCAGTTCAATTCAAAAGCATTTATTAATCACCTACTATGTGTAAGACACCACTCTAGGATACCATGATGAAAAACAGCAGTCTATTCCATCTTCCTCTCTTTCCCTCCTACTATAACCTCCAAATCTTACCTCAAGAAGGACGGGAACCACAGTGCAAGGCTGAGAGGCTACTCTCTGAAGACTGGATCCCTTATCATCCTGGCCAATCAACTCCAGGAAGAAAGGTCTTTGGGTGTGAAGGACGTTGGGGTCCAGGAGGGCAGTGAAAAGTCCCTGTTCAGGGGCCCCTGTTGGCTTCAGGGCCACACTGTCCAACTCTTGACCCCCTGGGCTTCCCCGAAGGATAATGTGAGAGTGATTCATGTTGGGGATGCCAGAAACCAGTCCCATCACTTCAACCAGAAGCAAAGTATGAAGACCTAGGGAGGGATAAGAGCAGAAAAGGGTGTGAAGAGAGATGAAAAACAAGATGGATTCCAATTTTCTTGTGTCTCAGAAGCCTGGAACAGGAGATTGTGGAAGGAGAGGCAGAGAGCAGAGTAAATGTTATACCTGCAACTGGTTGGCTTAGGGGATAAAGGCCAGGATGGGGTCCATTATCAATAGGAATCCCAAAAGAGAAGAGGAAATCCAGGGAAGTCTTAGCTGGAGGAGGAGAGAGGGGATGTGAGCCACTTACCCACTATATCAGTCAACTCCAGAAGCTCCTGTGTTTCCTGCTGCTGCCCCTCCCCCCCCAACCTCTTCCTTACCTTTCACTTTTACTCCAGGTGTCCCCTGTGCTGTGATCTCTATCACCCAGGCCCCAACCTGAGGGGGGTCATTTAGGTTCACTGTCCAGAACTGACCAAAGCACTGAATATGACCCAGAGGCCCCCAATCCTGATCAATATCCTGAGAAATACCTGGAGGGCATAGCGAGGAGACAATTTATTTCTATCTCATATATAACAGAACATCTCTAAGGAGAGGGAATATTAGGCCTCTTGAGCTTTCTCTGTCATTCTGCGTCAGATATTCTCCAGCCCAAATCTGTACCCCTTTTATTATCAGTCCCCTTTCCTGCCTTCCCCCTAAGTACCTGTGGGGTCTGAGATCCTAAAAGTGCTTATCTCTCCATGGAGATGGATGATGACCCCATGAAGCATCTTGTCCACGTGGAACATGAGAGACCCCTTAGGATTCAGGACAGGAGGCACCAGGGCTAGGGTCACCTTGAGGATGTGAGGAAGAAACATAAAAAGAGAGGACAGGGAGGGAGAAGAACAGAGACAGAGAAATTAAGTACCAGATGGAGAAAGGGATGGAGCTAGGGTAAAGAAAGGAGGATAAAAGATATGGAGAAGAAAGGCGAGGAATGATTCATAGGAATTGATGAGGCTGGGTTATGGGTGACCATATCCCCAACCTTACAAAGTGACTGAACTTTCAATGCATACCCCTAGAGCAAGAGATAGTAGACCAAAATGGGTGTTATTTTTATGGTGAGTAGAAACTGGAACTTTCAGGTTAGTCCAGATAGCTCTGTAAAAAGTCTTCCTTTCCCCAAGCTTCTAAAGAGCAAATTTTTTATGGGATCTATTTCCCTTGCTTTAATAACGAAAAGAAACTGGGGAAATCCAGAGGAAGACCTTGAAGTAAGCTCCTCCCTATCCCCCATCGCCCCCCAGCAAAGGATTTGTTTCCTGTTTCCCTCACCCTCACAACATGACTGCATTTCCTGTGTAAGTTTTCTTGGTTTCTATTTCCTCACACCCGGTATCCTGGGGCTACTACTCACCATATCCACCACGCTCTCCCCCACCACACTTGCCACATTCTGAATATACTGGTCCTTGGTAAAGATGACTTCTCCTCCTGAAGCCATGGCTATTGACTGGTATGGTTCAAACCGCTTTGGGGAAAGGACCTCTCTTCGAACCCGCCTTGATGGGTCCTCCGTCACCAAGAATGTCACCTGTGCTCAGAGATGTATCAAATTATTAGGCACATGATTGACAGGTTTTGCTATTGTTGTCCCTGACTCTGGAAGCCTGTGGAATGTCTCCAAAGCTAGGGTGTTATGGTGGGGTCATGCATCCTCTGGCTGTAGTCACTGTTGACTTGTTATGGCAGTTTTCCATATGCCAGCTATGTGGAGGAGGAGTCTGTGATCTTGGCCTCAGGTTGCTGGAAGTTCTAGTGCTCTAATACCATGTCAGCATTGTAGGTTGAGTCTCTTGGTGTATTCTTATGGTAAGATCCAGTACAATGTCTTCCATGACATAACCAAGTTCCTTAAGAGCACAGACCATGTCTTCTATTGTCACAGACTCCCCTCCAACCTCCACAGTTTCACACACACACACACACACACACACACACACACACACACACACACACACACACACACACACATACTTCCTCATGCTTCCCACTTCGATTATGTGATGGGAAGGACTTATTTTATGTACTTTCTGAGGGGTAGGTTATTCTATTTCTAAGTTGATGAAATGAACTTTAATTGTATGACATAGTTCCTTCCATCTCCTCTTTATTTTGGCTGCAGGAAGGGTAGATACCTAGCTAGCAGAGTGATAACATGGGGGAATGATAATCACATGGAGGGGCGCCAATGAATAGTCACTGGATCAGGAAGTTTCCCAATTTGCTGAGACTTAGCCTAGGGTTGTAGAAAGCACTAGCAAGCTTTATATCCAAGACACTACTCTAAAGCAGGTAGGGAACTGTAGCTTTCATAGAATAGGTTAAGATTTTTCAATATTTTAAAGCATCATACTTTGTTTCTTTAAGTTCTATTTCTAATTACATTTCTCTGGTATATAATTTCTGAATTTGTATAGCTGCTTTTCCCTGGTAAACAAACTCTGGAGTTCAGGGTAGGGGGAAAGGGAGGAGATGTCAGAATCAGGTGTATCAGGAGAAGAATAGGAAAGGTAATTAGGGTTTGAGTATGACATCTCTGAACCCCCAAAGCCAAGGGACGTTTTAGCAAGTAGTGAGAGTTCAGAAGCAAAGGCAAGGTGTTGGTATCAACCTCTGAGAAGAGCTGGTGCCCAGAGAAGCTAACACATCAGTGGCGAGGCAGTGAGTTCTAAGGCCAAGGGGTGGGTTTCTCACAGTTTAGTAAAGGATATAGCACAGGATGGGTGTTCGATTCACGTAAAGAATACGTGCTTCTTGAATTACTATCTGTTGTTTTGAAGTGTCCTGCCAACCTGATTTGTCTCAAATGGATCTCTTTTGGGGTCTCTTTCGGCTTATGCTTACTGCATTATTGTGGGGTGTTCACCTTGCAGTGCTGCTTCTGGCTCAGGGCCTCTACACGATTGGTGAGATGGGCATCCTTGGGGGAGGCATCAGTGAAGACAAAGATGTCTGAGAACTGGGGTGTGTGGAGCAGGGCCAGCTGGGATAGGGAAGAGAGAGAAGAAAGAATTAAAAATTGAGTAGAAGGGGTGAAAAGCTAGAAACCCTGTCCATACAAGGAAGAAAGGGATGTGGTCTAGACAAAGCAAATTGTTGGGCAAAGAGTAAGGGGCTAAGTCACAGAGGAGAAGAATTCTTGCTCCAAAGGTGGAGAAGAAAGGGAGAGGAGGGAAGGAGAACCCTAAGGATAGAGATGGGAAGGAAGAAGGGGGGATGGGGAAATGAAGAAGAAGGACCTCCAGGGCTGACAGACACATCTCAGGCTCATCTCCACCCCCTAGGGCATGGATCTCATTAAGATGTTTCCAGAAAGCATCAGGGTCACTGGTCTTAAGGACAGGTCCAAATCCTGAAAAGGAGAAGAGGAGGGAGGATGAAGTAAGTGAAGGAAGATAGTGGCCCCAGTCCTACTCAACAGTTATTATAGTAATTCCTTATTCCCCAGCCAAAAAGCCCTCTTTGTACCTGGAATGGGGGAGAAACACAAATCAGAAAATGCTACCATTTTGAAATCATATTAACAATAACAATTCCAACATGTACAATGCTTTATACACTTCAAAGAACTTTCATGTCCAGTATCTCATTTAATCTTCATACGGCAACCCCAAGAGGTAAACTAGGTAGTTATCATTACCTTCATTTTACAAATAACAAAAATAAGACGAAAGAGAATTCCGTCATTTGTCTAAGGTCACAAGTTGTTGGCAGAACAGGACTAGAATTCTCAAGGTCCAAGAAGAAAATAGGGAATAACTGATTGCCACAGATACTCCTCAGAGTAGCTCTGTTTCATGCTGATCTCTATCAGCAGATGCCATTCCAGCTCCCAAAACTGAGGAAACTGGAAATGATTAGTTGTCATTTCATCCCCTCCCCAAGCCCATTCCCAAGAAAAGCCCCGACTGGCTTTATACCACCTAGGCACTCATCCTCCTAAGGATATGCTGCCATTTTGGAAAGAAGGGGAAGAGCACTCACTCCTCTTGGGCTGCCACAGAAAGGACTGCTGTTTCATAAGGGAAAAAATAGAAAGTGGAGATAGAACCCAGCATCCCTGCTCTCTACCCTGGGGCCACTGTTACCAGGATCATGGAAAGGCACAAGAATGTAGTGGGTAGGCTCCATGGGGCCACCACGGCGTTGGTCAATGATTCTCCGAGCCTGTATTTTGGCTGCATTAATTTCTTCCCCCATACTGCCTGTAGTGTCCAGGACAAAGCTCAGGCCTGAGGCTGGGGAGATCTGCAGGAGCCTGGAGGGTGAAGGGGCACTAATGAGGGCCCTAGTTCTCTGACCCTCACCCCCTGACACCTCTCACCTCCCGCAAGGACTCAGATGTTGAAGTCTATGCTCAACCCCCCCAGTATTCCCTTCTCCCATCCTGCTCACCTGGAAAATCCGGTATCCCCTAATCGGCCCCGAAGGAGGTTCAGGGCCTGGATTGAGGCCTGGAGAGCAAGCTGGGCAGCTTGAGGGTGCAAATCATGGTGTGGTGAGAAAGCTGGAGAGGTGCTGTCCTTATTGATGCCCCCTCGGGGGATATCTCGGCTGCTCTGGTCAAAATGGCCCCCATGGCTACATTTCCCTAATGTGAGGAAAAAGGTCCAAGAGAGATAAGGAATGCGAATATCAAAACCCCTCACTCCCAGAATAGAGGGAAGCACCCTTCCCAGCACCTAGTACCAAACTCCTTAGGGGCCAGGAAACATGTTAGTAGCAATACAGCCATTCTGGAGTTCAAACAAGAGTGAGGATGTTGGCATCACTCCAGTAACCCCGAGGCATCCCCTCATCACCCTACCCTACCACATCAAAATGTTCTTGTGAACAACAGAAAGCTAACCCCAGAAACATGCCGCATGATTTTGAGAAGACAGAACAGAAAGGGGACTACCCCTCTCCACTCCCTATCCCTTTTATTTTCATTCATCAGTCATGGCCACCCCAATGGTGCCAACTCTAATATTATCCTTTCCCTAACTTTTCATAGGCAGTGGCACCTTACTGAGGAACCTAATAATGGGAAGTGAGTCTTTGGAGGAAATGGGACCCCTTCCTGTAGCATACCTGGAGGTTTGGGGGGTTCTGCCCCAAAATAGCCAGAGGTGAGGAATATGGAACCCAGCAAATTTCCAGGGCAGCTGAGCTCTTCACAGTCAGAGCACATCGGGTCCCCAGCTGAGAAGAAAGGATTGCCACGGTGGGGAGGTTGAGGTGGTAATGGGACAGAGCTCCCCAGGTCCCCAGTATTTTTCACTCTGCCCTTGTCTAGTCTCTACTTCCCAAGAAAAGGAAGAAGACAAACAGGAAGTATAATTGGTGTCTCTATATTCTTATTGGCAAGACAAAGAGGGAACCCGGGGATGGGAGACAAGGTAGTTTCTTCTCTCCCTCCGTTCCTTTCTTCTCTCGCCTCCCAAACACACACACACACACACACACACACACACACACACAAACAAGTGATGTAGGTGGGAGGCAACACGGTGCAATGAAAGACTTGTGACTTTGGGCAAGTCAAGTTTCCTTTCTCTCAATTTCAGCGTCTCCATATGCCCTAATCTGTCCTGAAAGTCCCTTCCAGCTCTCTCATCCTATCTAGGATTCTATGAAAGACTGCACTGGGACACTTTTGCCCAGGTGGGTGAGTTAACCAAAGTGACTCTCAGGACTTCCTACCCCAGTCCAGGTGGTATGGCTTGGACCCATACCCTGTGCCAAGTTCTTGAGCTTCCGTCCTGGCCACAGGAGGTCAGGGTGGGGCTGCTGCTTTCCCAGCTCTACCCAGTTGCTATGACTGTAGAAATCCTGGGGGTAGAAAGAGGTCAATCATGGCCTACTCCTTTCTCCCCCAATTTTAGTTTCCATTCTTTCTCTCCATCCCTCTCCTGCCCCATCAGGAGACTCATTGCTCCTGTTCACCATGAGACTGTCATGGGTGCCCCATGGGGCCAATGCCCTACCAATCTCACCAGTGCCTTTCAATTTTCCAACTTCTCTAATGACAAAACTCTCATAGGAAGTGCCACCCTCTTGGAAGAGGGGACATAGGAAAGGGCCTCAATTCTTTCCCTCATCCTGATTTTCTCTTCACCCACACTCTTCTTCTCCCTTGGTCTCCAGCCCACCTGTAAGGCATGTAGCATGGCTCCTAGGAGTTGGCGGGCCAGAGTGTATTCCAGGGCACGGGCAGCACTGAGGGCTTCCCGAAGGCTCCCCACAAGGCGGGCCTGGCTCCCAATCAGCTGTTCTGCATCAAAGTGCAGCTCAGGGTCATTCCTGGTCACTGAGAGGAAGTCTTGGGCTGCATTGGCACGAGCCACCTCACCAAGGGCTGCCCGGAATCGGCGGGTTGGGGTCCCAAACCCAAAGTAGGCAGCAAAGAGGTCATCAGCCAGCAATGTCCGGCCCTGAAAAGAAGAAAAATATCTAGGATTTAGGAATCTAGAAAGAACCCCCACTGTTCACCACCAGATAGTGCAATGAGCACCTTAAAAAAACTGTGTGTCTGGACTATGCAGGGGAGCTAGGCAGGCATAGGCCTTTGTCCTAGACCAAGCACAGGGAAGGCCTTTCCCTAGAAATCAAGGCTTCTCAAATTACCTTTGGTTTACTTATCTGTTGTCTTTCCCAGTATTACACCAATTCTTTGAAAGTGGGGATTATTTTGTTTTGGTGCAGTTTGAAGCACCTAGTATGCGCCAGGCACTGTGCCAAGCAAAGAAAGGCAAATGACAGTTCCTGTCCTCTAGGTGTTCACAATCTAACAGGGGAAACACTATGCAAACAATTATATACATATAAGTTATATATTTGATCAAAAGCAGATAATCAAGCAAGGGAAGACATTAGAATTAAGAGAGATTGGGAAAGGCTTCCTGTAGAGGGTGGGATTTTAGCTGGGGCTTGAAGGAGGAGGTAGAGATGAAGAGGAAGAAGGTTCCAGGCATAAGGTACAGCCAGTGAAAATGCCCAGAGTCTGAAGATGGAGCGTCTTATACAAGGAGGCCAGTGCCAGTGTGTATGGGAGTATGGTTCCTCACCCCCACCCTCAGGACCCATAAGAACGCGATCAGATATTTAGAGCTGGAAATGGACCTTAGAGGGCATCTTGTACGTGACTTGACCAAAGCCACACAGGTGGCAAGGAGGAAATTTGAACTCGGATCCTCTGACTCCAAATCCTGTATTCTTGCCAGTTAGTGGGGATACCTCCCTTCCCACTAAATAAATGTTTGTTAACAGAGAGTGTCTTCCCCTTAGCAACCACAGAGCCCTAGACAGACAGGGAACTCCTAAGAACCTCAGGGGGAACATAGAGCTTTTGGGAGATTTGGGAGTAGCAAATGGGGTCTTACCTGGAAGTCCTCCAGGCGGAGGGGATTCCTGCCAGGGGGTGGCCGTTCCAGGAAGAGCTGTAAGGTAACATTGAGAGCAGCTTCCTCTGTCAGGTCCTGGTGGGTGATGGAACTGGGGGCAGCCACCAGGCTCCAGATGTTGGGGAAGAAGCCAGATGCTGGGCAAAGCCATGGTAACAGCAGGAGTAAGGAGCCCAGGCAGGGGTGAGGCGCTTTGAGAGGCGTCATGGCTGAGACATGGACCTGAGGGGAGGTCAGGGTGGAGGACAGAGACACAGGAGCCAGTGTGTGTATGTCTGTGGGGTACAGAACAAAGTGCCCAGATTCTGAGGAGAGGGACAGATGGAGTGGTACACTGAGCTGAAGCTCCTTCCTTCCTGGCCAGCTCTGGGTCTACGTCTCTTGCCTCCCAGGGCACCTGCCTTTTCTACCCTCAGCCTCACTTATCTACCCTAGCTGGACGCTGTCTTATCACCAGGACAACCAGAAAGTTATCATGGAAACAATGGGTGGCTTAGGCAAACATACCTGCCAGGAAAGGGCTGCTAGGACCTCTCCGCTCCTCAGGGATCCAGGGAGCCAAGCTCTTTTCTCCCAAGGACCCAACAAGCTGGTGCTCTGCCCATTGAGCTCCCTGAAAGGGCCAGACACCCACCCCACCCCCCACCCCAGGTGTCAGCTTCCTGTTTTTTTTTTTTCCTCTCAAGAACAGTCACCCCTCTCCCACAAGTAGAACTCTCCCCTTAGGCCCCCAGCCATACCTGGTCCCTGGGGTCTCCTCCCGGACGGGGTCCCAGGTCACGCTACACAAGCAGTGATACGTCCCTGTCCTGGACTTTAGGTCAGAGTTATATTTAACCCAGGGCAGGGGGTGGGGTGTGGGTGGGGCAAGTCAGGGAGCAGAAACATAGGCCCAGGAACCTAGAGGGTCCCCAAATGCATCACTCCCCGAAATCCAAAGAAGCCCAAACAGGGGCAGTGTGTAGAAGGGGAGGTATCCACAGAGCTGCCTCTCCCTGACCCACCCCACTGCAGTGCAGAGATGAAACGTGCTGATGAAAGCGCGTGAGTCAAGGGCTGGAGTCCAGCCAAGGCTGGACCAAGCTGTACCCCCTTCGCTCCCTTTCCCCACAGGGGGGACCCAGGCTTCTGGTTCCCCAGTTTACCCCCAACCTTCAGTATCCTCTGCGGACAAAAGCATCTAGTTCCCTTCTAGCTCTCCAGGTATCAGATTCTTGACCTTAAGCAATCTCCCTCCCCCTCCCCCTCCAAGGAATAAGGAATCTGATTCCTGCTCCCTCGGGGAAACTCATTACTCATCACACAAAGAAACATAAGGTTTGTGCCAAAATATTTTATTGCTGCAGCGCATCCCCCCACCCAGTGATGGGAGGTCAGGGTGCTGGGGAGCTGTCTCCGGGTCTCACAGCATCTTCTCAAACAGGGCAATGGCTTCATCTACCTTCTTCAGCTCTGCCTCTGTCTGCTGGAGCTGGGGAGGAGGAGACACAGTGGGTGAGAACCCCCAGATTCAACAGATTCCCCTTGCCTCTAGAACGCAGGCAAACCCCCTAAGCCCAGGAAGGGATCAGAGAGAAAGGACCCTGGAGAGGAGCTAAAGGGCAAATGGAAACCACCAAGAAAACAACTTCCTGCCCATCTCGAAGTCTAACCCCACTCAATCCCACTTTCTGTGTAAGCCTCACTTACTTATCCTATCCCACAGTGTTCCCTTTTCTCCCTCCTCCGAGCTCCCAGAGATAACATATTCAGGCTGTCCATTTAATTAGAAAACTTGGATTTTGGAAGCCCATTTTCCCATGAGGTAGCTGAAGTACGGTACCAAATATCCTATGTCATCGCCATCCATAGTGGTGCATTCATCTTTGAAGTAGCAGTTCCAACCACACCCGCCCCACCAGTTCTACCCCTATCAGCAGTATCATGAGGTGTCTGTGAGTCTTGGGGAGGGTTAGGGCGCCAGATGAGAGACAGATGGAAGATGAAGGACAATGTGTAATGGGGCATATCATTCCTCTATCCTAACAAACCTGCCTTAAGGAAAGCACTTCAGTCAGTCACACCCCAGAGATTCTTCCTGGGAACAAACTGCAGTTTTCTTATGGAGAGTTAAGAGATAAGGACCAGGGCAGCTAAGCGGGGTAGCGGATGGAGCATTGGCCTTGGAGTCAAGAGAACCTGAATTCAAATCCAGCCTCACACACTTGACACTTACAAGCTGTGTGACCCTGGGCAAGTCACTTAACCCTAATTGCCTCACCAAAACAAACAAAAAACGTTAAGGGCCTCCCCTGGGTACCACAGGCAGTGACTGCCTTCTTTTCTTCCTACTTCCTTTTTTGTTTCCCCAAGATAAATTATCAGCTTCCAAAGGGTAGGCAGGGAAGCCAAGGTATCCTCCCCTCAGTCCCAACGGGGTGGGTAGAATATATGCAAGAGGGGTTACTTGTTGTCTTATTGACCAAGTCCACATCCGTTCTGGGGGATGGAGCAGGACGGCATCCTAGGAACCCTCAGTAACACCTGCCCACTTCCTCATATCCCAGTGTCAGCCCCCTTTAGTAAAAGAGAGATATCATCGGGCTCACTCTCAAGAAAACACAAAATTAATGCTGGCTTCCCCACTAACCCTCTATGTGACCGTGGGCAAGGCGCTGAGTCTTCAGGTTCCTATCTGTAAAACGGGGAAGATGGTATTCCCATGAACTTCACAAAAACGGGGAAGATGGTATTTCCATGAACTTCACAAAAGTACGAGTTGTACAAATGTGAGTTGCTACTGTTGTTGTTAAAATACTTCTCTTCCCTAGACCGGTTTCCTCATCACTAGCTCATCCCAGATCTGACATTAGTGGGAAGAGTCCAGACAGGAACAGAAAGACCAAGTGCTACTCTCCCACCCCTCTTCCGGCCCCAGTATTCATGTCAAGGACCCCAGGGAAACAACTCAAGGCTTGGTAAGACTGTCTTGTGCTTACAGCCTTCTGAGTTCTCTTACAGTTACTGACAAGGAAAATCCCTTAGGAACTGCCAAGGAGCTGTGTACTTGCTATGTGACAGGAGAGATGGTGAAAAGCTGGGAAACTGCATCCTATTCTGTTATGGGAGGGGAGAAACAAAAGCAGGCCTGGTAGCCAGGAAGAAACAGACAGGCCAGTGCCTGGGGCCTTTCACTGAGGGGGAACTGGGGGAAACTGGCCTTGGACCCTGATGTGGGAGGACGCCACCAAAGAGCCACACACCTTGGCCTCCTCGGACTCCTGGACTTGGGAGGGAACCTTGGTGGCATAGTCGGGAACAGCCCGACGCTCCCGAAGCCTCTGGGCCTGACGCTCAGCTTCCCCGCGTTTGGCCTGGAGCTTTGCCAGCTCTCGGGCAGGATCCACCAGCCCCTGAAGCTGCAGGTGGACAGAGCATCGGTCAGAGGCCAGGCCCACAGCACAGCCCTGCGGGGCAGGGATTCCAGGGAGCAGGACAGTCACAGGTCCAGTGTTGGAGAGCGCCTGCACATAGCCTGACACTGCAGAAGCCTGTGCTCCTGTCGCCTCATCTGCCACTTCAAGGAAACCTGTGGCAGGAGAAAGAGGGAGAGGTGAGACTGGACACTTGGACATCTGGTGGGTGAGGGAGAGGAGCAGGAGCTGGCAGAGGGACCAAGACAAGATGCCTGAGGGTACAGATACGCTAAAGCGGTAGGGAGCACAGATGGGATAAATGTCAGGGGCCTGGATGTAACAGGGTAGAAGACAACATGCTGGGTCCCTCACACTCAGGCTGGCTCCGGGTGAGGTTGTAATCTGCTCGGAGAGAGCGCACAGCCCGGGTAATGCTGAGTGAAAGCTCAAAAGCAGCCTCGGCCTCAGGATCCTTCCAAGAGACCTGTAACGAGGCAAAAATGTTCATGAGGCAAAAGACAGAGGACAAGCCTTCAACCCTCCCTAGGTGAGGCTCCCTTGTGCCCCTCCCCCCAGTCCCCACCTTCCCTCAGGGGCTCTGGAATCAATTCGAACCTCACTGGGCTCTGGGTAGGGGGTAACACAGAGACTAGGTGGGGCCTGGGGCCCCCTCCGAGGCAGGCGCTGATACAACTCCTCAGTCACAAAGGGCATGAAGGGTGAGAGTAATCTCAGGCCCACATCCAGGCAAGTGTAGAGGGTCTGCCGGGCGCTATCTGCTGCAGCTTGGTCCGTCCCAGAGAGCACAGGTTTCAGGCACTCCTAAGGAACAAAAACAGACCAATCACAGTCTGTCAGATTTGGAAGGGATCTCAGAGATCACCTACTCCAGCTTTCTCACTTTAAACACCCAGGCTCCCTCACATCCCCCTGTGGAACCCGAAGCACTCACACAAGTCTCCAGGTACAATGGGGATGTCTTGGTGGGGGCCAGTCCTAACTTTCCTTCCCCTGGGATCCCAAGTGGCCTTCTGCACTGTCCTGTCCAAACCTCCTCTCTCTGGCCTCCCTCCACCTTCACTTTTCCCTTTTACTTTTGTAGGCTTAGCTACCAAAGAGATACCTCCCAGGATCTGATGAGGACTGGAACATCCCACATGGTTCTTTGGGAGAGAATACATCCACCCTCCCCCTACCAAGGTACATCCCAGAACCCAATCTACCCTTACCAGGTAAACATTGCAGAGATCGTAGAGCCAAAAGCTGTACTGGGCAGTGGTGACAGTGGTGAAGTCATAGGCATGGAAACCCTGGTTGCTTAGCCCAACAGCTTCACTCAGGCGGCTCTTAATCCAGCGGTCAGCCAAGCTCTCCTGACTGCTGGCCTACACAGGATGATGGTAGGTAGTATGTGTGGGGGTGTAGCATGAGCAGGAAAAATGCCATTCCCAGGGACTGGGAATGAGTCAGGTCAGCACAGTCCATTAGGCTAGCACCTGCTTAAACTGCTGCTACATTTGGGGTCAAGCCCTCAAAGAACCTCATGCCATCTGAGTCTGGCCTATGGCAAATTCCACCCAGTTTGGGGTAAGGAATCATATAGACTTGTAGAATCTCAAGGAATTGGTTTAAGCAGGTTTAAGGAGAGCTGAAAGATTAGCTCAGGAGTGGGCTGAACTGTCTTCTTGTCTTCAGAAACCCCATCACACCCAAGAATGACCTAGTGCCTATTCAGCTATATTTGAGGAGAGTTTGAGGGTACCACCCTCCCCCTATCAGCCCCTGAGGTCCCTCACTTGGGGAATAGGTGAGGGTACAAATCCATCTCCCAATGCCCTAAGGGCAAACTTGGTGGCGTTCCAGAGCTTGTTACAGAAATGTCGATACCCGAGGATTCGGTTCACATCCAGGTTAATGTCTCGGCCTGGGGAGATAGTGAGGAGTGAGCAAAAGAAGACAGATACATACTGTTCCCACCTC